GGGGGGGGGGCTTAAAAGGTCAAAATATCTCAAATTTCCGCGAAAATGACCGTTTCGCCACGATTTCTCGCCAATAACGCGGAGAAGGTTGGTGATATCGTAACATTGTTTATCCCTAAAATGATAGAGCATTAATTTTTTATACGCGGGGCGGCCTAACCCCTCGTGAGGGGAGGGGGGCCCCCAGCAGTACCTATCCTATAAAAACCGTCAAGATTGGCCGCTTCCTTGATGTAGAGTTATGCGCAAAAATGGGCGGCTAAATGAAAACAAGTGCGTTTGTTCTGAGAGAACATCAGTGTGACTTCTTGTGGGAGGTGACAGGGAGGAGGGAGGTACATCCTCCTCCCTCCCCCTCCCCCTCCCCCAAAAAATAATCACGAAAAACGTTAATGAAACGGGCAAAATTCCACTTCGTTAGGCGACTTTCAGGGCTTGTCATTAAGACGCTTTACACTAACATAATTTAACGAGGGGGGAGGGAGAAGGGTTTATCCTCCCGCCTTCTCTTCCACCCCCTCCCCCTCTTCCCAAAAAATAATCACGAAAAAATTTAAATAAACGCGAAAATTCCATACTCTAAAAGGCGACTTTCAGGGCGTATCATTGTCACGCTCACAATAATATAATTTAATGAGGGGAGGGGGGGGCGTTCGACATCTTAGCCTCCCCACCCAACATTAAAAAAGGGTGGGGGAGGGATAATTTAAAAACGTCACTTGCTTAATAATAGGAGGGACGGGGAAACCTAGCTGCAGTAGGAGAATTTTAAGATGTGACCGAAATTAAGATTAAGACCAAATGAATGATTGAATACTTCGGCAAACGATCCAATACACTTTGAGCCTATTCTCCAAACGTTTCAAAAATGTTGACGTACGCTTCAGAATGTACATTTCCGTCAAGTACGAATAAGCTCCCCTCAGTTTCAGTAATTTCCAAAAAATAAAATAGTATCTCTACGTTCCCTGATTTAATTACGTATCCGTTCACATCTTAAAATTCTCCTACTGCAGCTAGGTTTCCCCGTCCCTCCTATTATTAAGCAAGTGACGTTTTTAAATTATCCCTCCCCCACCCTTTTTTAATGTTGGGTGGGGAGGCTAAGATGTCGAACGCCCCCCCCTCCCCTCATTAAATTATATTATTGTGAGCGTGACAATGATACGCCCTGAAAGTCGCCTTTTAGAGCATGGAATTTTCGCGTTTATTTAAATTTTTTCGTGATTATTTTTTGGGAAGAGGGGGAGGGGGTGGAAGAGAAGGCGGGAGGATAAACCCTTCTCCCTCCCCCCTCGTTAAATTATGTTAGTGTAAAGCGTCTTAATGACAAGCCCTGAAAGTCGCCTAACGAAGTGGAATTTTGCCCGTTTCATTAACGTTTTTCGTGATTATTTTTTGGGGGAGGGGGAGGGGGAGGGAGGAGGATGTACCTCCCTCCTCCCTGTCACCTCCCACAAGAAGTCACACTGATGTTCTCTCAGAACAAACGCACTTGTTTTCATTTAGCCGCCCATTTTTGCGCATAACTCTACATCAAGGAAGCGGCCAATCTTGACGGTTTTTATAGGATAGGTACTGCTGGGGGCCCCCCTCCCCTCACGAGGGGTTAGGCCGCCCCGCGTATAAAAAATTAATGCTCTATCATTTTAGGGATAAACAATGTTACGATATCACCAACCTTCTCCGCGTTATTGGCGAGAAATCGTGGCGAAACGGTCATTTTCGCGGAAATTTGAGATATTTTGACCTTTTAAGCCCCCCCCCCCATTTTGGGGAACCGCGGGTAATGGCGAAAGTCACTTAAAGCTTTTCTAGACCAGAATTTTACGAGCTTTCAGAATGGTTATTTAGAGTTTTGCCCTAAAATCAAGCCTTTTCGGGTAAAAGTGAGAAAATTCGCAGAAAAGTCGGAATTCTGAGCAATTTAGGGGGGTTTAGGGGGGGCTTACTCCCCCCCCCCACCACGATAGAATTCGCGTAAACAAGAAAAATCCCATTCTCCTAGTCGAGAGCTTCAAGAAAGTCACCACCTTTAAAATTCCCACGGGGGGGAGGGTTACCCCTTGCTGGCCCAGGGTCTATTTCGGGACTTCAGCATTCTACTGTTGACTTACCTACATGGTTGATGTTCAACAACGTGTTGGCAGTTCCGTTTTGCAAACAGGACGAAAATGGCCGACGTTTGGGAAACTTGTTTGTGTCATGACGTCATCCGAAGCTCATCATCGACAATGTAGGAAGGTCAACAGCCAAAACTAGGGTGATGACTGTTGCTCCCTAGTAATTGTCCATAAGGAATTATTGAAACCCCGAAAGTAAAAGCTTCCACCTGTCGCCAAGGCCAGTGCCACCGAGTGGCCACCGAGGTCAGTGCTGCCGTGATAGCGAAGAGAGCCGTAAGTGCAAAATTATCGAAATCGAGTTTTCTTCAAAATTCGTCTAAACTCTTTTAGATGAAATTACTGAGACAACTAAAACAGCAAAATTCATCCTAATTTAATGAAAAACGAGCCGTATCAAAAGGCCGTAAGTGCACAAAAAATGACACAGTTTTTTTCAAGACAGCCGTAGATGCATGAGAGCCAATGAAAACAGTGCTTTCCAGTAAAGTGCCGCCCTCTTCTGCCAATTTCTAACCTGAAAATGTGTTTGTTGTGCGTCCAAAACGCAATCACGAAAGCATGTAGAAGATACATAGAGTACATAGAGTCGTAATGTAAGTGGGAGAGGTGGCGCCACTTTTAAGCATTTTCCATGTCCCGAATTCCGAGACTCCTGTGTGACGCCGGGTCACTTTTTCGATACATAATCGATTGTTTGCGATACACAGGTACCCGGCCATCCGATGAAAACAACAACAACAACAAAGGAGATAGGAATTACCACGTATTCCACACCGCCATTTTGGATCGAAAATGTATCGAAAAAGCGACCCGAACTCCGCACACACCGGGCTCGGAATCCGTCGAGCAGAACATGGCGCCAGCTCTCCCATTTACATTACGACTCTATGTTCTCTATGAGAAGATAGCACTTACGGCTGTCTTGCCTAACAATATAGGTAACCTAGCATGAAAATGAAAAATACCCTTTTTATGGAATGGAAATAAAATCCGTCGATTTTTAATCACCCATACGATTTCTAGGAGTCTTCCGGACGATTAGTGGTAATTTGACAAAGAACGGAGGCTCCTTTCAATAAAATGTTCTTGTCAGAATCTTCTGAGCACGTTTTCTCAAAACTTCATTTTTGCACTTACGGCTCTCTTCGCTATCACGGCAGAGTGAAGGGTCTCTTGTCTCTGCACCAGGAGCAACAATTAGGTTGGGACGAAGGTAGTCGGTTTCTATGGCTTCTTATGGGACTGTTGCTGAATACGGACTTCTAACAAAAGAACCAACTATTTGAAAATCTGTGCCAAGATTTGGAACTTAGCCATTCATCAAGTGTGTTTATACGATTAAAATTTCAGCGCTAAATCATTTATTTTAAAAACTCCCGTAGGATTCCATGTATTGGAGGTTATGGCGAAGATAGCAATCGGCCATTTCCACTCCCCGTCCACCTATCGAACGACCGCTCCATGTATGTTACGGTTTTTCGTAGGCCACCACCAATCTCTAGTCTCTAGATCGTTATCCATTGGTCGATTGAAATTTCCTCTTATCACTGCGGAGTTCAGTGATGTAAAGGAGCTAACAAAAAAAGAATGACAAAGTCCATGTTGGTTATATTCACCTGATGTCCATTCTAAAAGACATGCTTACATTAAATGATGTGCTCTGAGAAAGCTGAACATTGTTATTGATTAGGTAGTTTCATTTTTTACAGACCTCCTAACTCATCCTTTTGACGAAAATATTTTTCTTTCCGTCCAAAAGCAAGAGTAAAGGACTGAAAAAAAATGGCAACTCAACCAAGTCCGGACCCTAGGTATTTTTTCTAAGTTGGCGACTTCGAATACTTAAGGTATAAGTTCAACCAAAACGCGTCACATAGCGGTGAAAAAAATGTTGCTGGATAGATCTGATGTCTCCTGATGTGTACAAAAAAGATATACCTATGATGTTTAAGAAATTAATTTAGTATAGTCAAAAAAAAAGAAAAAAGATGTCTCTCAAGAAGGACCCCTGGCCACAAAGGGTTGAAAGCCAAAGTTGTCACCTCTTCGCGACCCAGCAAGTTGTGAGGAAGGTCCCCTCGTGATAAGAGTGGAAGTCAGCATCTGACCTGCAAAATCGCAATTCTATTATTTCAAGTGCTCCACCCACACAGAGTCAAACTGACGAGTAGGTAATTTTCGAAATTATTTATTAATAATCAAGAGACTTTAGTGCTCACTATAAATGCCATCAGGCAATAATTTTTTATATACTGAATGAATGTTTAGGTACGAGTATGTTAATTCCAATAATTTGTGTTTGCAGGAAACATGTGGGCACAGAATTGGAAGAACATCATTGACTTGATTTTGCCGTATCCCGGTAAAAGGAGGTTGGACGTCACTGCAGAGATGGTGCGCCAAGGATACGATCCTGCTAAGTAATTAAACTATTTCTCTTTAAAACGGGACTAGAAATATTTCTGCATGAAACCATTAACTCCGAAGAATGAATAGAAAGAGTTCAACAGAAGTGCACGAAGTCAAATCAAGTCTGCACCGAGAAAAAGAGGTTCCGAATTTTATTTTTTTAAAACATTCAATGTTTAAGCCAAAAGTTTGACGAATAATTTCTAATTCAAAATATAATTCCTTGAGTATAGGTAAACATTTAACACGAGAAAAATTGCGACTAGTTGAACCAAAAACTATCAGTACTACTGACTGGGTGGATTTCTGTAGAGTTTCATTTCGCTGTTGCCGGATGATTTTGAACCGGTAATCTATGGAACATGTTTGACTAATTTTTTTTTTACCCTCTGGGTGATCTTAAAAAATTGTTAAATCTATTATGAAAATCGAAGCATACTTTCGGGAATTTTTTGGGCAGTACAAATGTCAAACGTCACAGAGGGATAAAACTCGAAAGTCCCGTTTACATACTCGACGCCTTTATTGCACAAAACAAGTAACGACCGGCACACGCCATCTTTCCAATTTTGCGTTACCCACTTGCCACTAGTTTAGAATTTCCGCGTGCGACAAAACAACGACGTCCCATAATCTGATGGATGAGGATCTCAAAGAGGGAGAAGTAGGAAAGTAAAACTACATTTTTAGGCCTTTAACCGCCACAGGTATAAGTTATGGAGACCTGGCATTGATCCCGCACGGAGGCCACACAAACTAAGGACTAATCAGGTGACTTGGTAGTGGACTGCCAACCTAATAGATTGACGTACTACCAACCCAACCTAACATAACATAACATATAGATTTCTAACATTTAGAAAAAATTAACCTTCGGTATAAGTTATTCCAAATTTGATGAGTCATTTTTCTAAAAATATTGGTGAGTATAGGTACTTACCTATACGATCATCGTATCGTCCGCGAATCGTAAAAGGCACCTCTTTTGGCTAAATTTAACGTTGAAGGACATACCTCCGTTCCACAGTGCAGTTTCTTTATGGACGGATAGGAAATAATTCATATTTGATCGAATAATGCATGGAATTCAATGAAAGAGCCTCCTAAAAAAGAGGCTGATTTTGGCCCCTTTCTAGGTATTCAATTCGACCATCGGACCAAGGTTTAAATGGAAGCTTATAGTAACAGAAAACTCAGGAAAAAATTTCAAGATGAGTATAGGAACCGTTTTCGAGTTACGGGGGGGGGGGGG